CACTTACACACCCTTCCCCCCGGCCTGCTCTCCCCCCTCTGCCACCCCCACTACAGGGTCCAACAAGAACGAGAGACCAAGATGCAGAAGATCAAATTTTCCTTCTTTTTTTTTTCCTAATTGTATTTCTGGGAGAATGAGCAGCCTATTGCCAAAGGTCGCTTGACACAGCGCACAAATCCACGGGCTGCGAGAGATCAGAGGCGACCCTGCCTCTCCCCCTGCGGGGCGCAAACATTGTAAGTCCTGGTGAAAGCAGGGGATAAATAACGAGTGAAAGTAACAACTGAATTTTAATTGGGGAGAGGGAAAGAACGGCAAAGGCCAGGATGGACCATACACAGTTGGTAACACACGCACTCATGGACACAGGCATAGCTATAGGAGCAAAAACACCCCTGCCCAGAGCTGTGTGTGTACACCCACATCCGGCTGTGCATCCCCTGGCATTCAGAGAGAGACGCACACGGCAAGCGCCACCCTCGTGTGTAGCTGTGTGCATACACAAGAGTGAAAGATACACCAACGTACACGTTCAAACACCTGGCCTCTGTCGACACTCGCGGTTTCTTGTGCCAGAAATAAGCAAATGAGGTTAAGCGTGGACTGTCACCGAGCCTCATTTGCATACCTAATGAGCAGCAAGAGGCTCTTGCACCAGGAGGAGCTGGCTACACAGCCCCCTCTTGTGCAAGAAAAACCCTCTTGCGCAACGCCCTTACGCCGATGACTTTTCAGGCGTGACGGCGTTGCGCAAGAGGGGTTTTGTTGCGCAAGACGGGGCAGGGTAGACAGAGCCTTCTGGCGCAAGAGCCTCGTCTGCAAAAACGGCAGCTCATTAGGTATGCAAACGAGGCCCAGCGATAGTCCCTGCTTTGCCCCATTTGCATAGTTCTGGCACAAAAAGCCGCAAGAGTAGACAGCCATACTGACTTACACACATCGACAACACCCAATATCTGCATTTATACGAACGCACGAATAGCGTGACCCGCGTACATGCGCAGAGGCAAAGACACAACAGGATACACACCCTGATTTGCACGCATGGACACACACACACAAATGTGTGACCCAGTAAGCAGCGTACAACGGAGCCAGACCCGGATCCTCAAAGGCAGGGAGGTGCCTTTGATGCTCATCTTGGTCCACTGGGGTACTACAATCACAGGATGTCAGTTTCACAACCTGAGAGGGACCATCCCAGGATGGGAGAGGTTTACCGACTGTCGGTGACAGGTCAGGACAACGGAATTGACAATCAGACCTGTAGCCAGGGAAGTACAGCCTAGCATGAGAGGACAAGGCAATCTGCGGTAACAATCAGAGGGCTACTGCATTACAATAGAAACACCCCAATTCTGAGACGAATCGCAGCCCAGACAATTCGCGTTTTCGTTCTTTCCCCCATCCCCAGAAGGGCTGAATTTCCAAAGGCAGCGACATCCTCTTGGTCTCGTAGGCCCTGCTAGCTCCGGGATGTGGCTCCAGCTCTTTGCTGGGAGAGGCGACGGTGAAGAAGCTGTTGCTGGATTCGCCCGCAGGTGGGGAAGTGGCAAAGAAGGGTTTGAAGTGGAAGTCTCCCTCCCCACACCTGCTCCAGACAGGTGTGGTATCCCGGGGTACCTGGCAGCATTACCTAGGAAGGGGAAGTCAGAGAGTCAGTTGGATGCTGGAGTCTCTACATCCGAGACCACCCTAGTGTGACAATCTGGGAATTGAGCAAAGTCTCCAATCGAAGACCATGTGGGACCACGGTCTGATTTAAATGCGGGGGCTACGTTTGGGATCGTCACAAGAAACGGCGAGATCTGGAGGCCTGACCCCTGCAGGCCTAATTCTATGAATCTGGACTCAAACCTTTTAACGATGCGAGAGCCACTGGAGGGAAACAAAGGCCGATGCTCAAGAATTCTGACCTACACATTGAGAGTTGCTTACACAGTCGTGGGGTTCTTACAGCGCCGTTGTCCTTCTGGATCTGTAGCCTTTATGGCCATTGGTTCCCGCTTTTCCGTGACCCCTTGAAAAATGTCCCCTTTTGAAAAGCACAGCAAGTACCCACAGACGGACAGTAAAGGTTGTGGATTTTTTTTCTGACCCCGCAAAATTCAGAAGGTGCCACCGGACGGCCAACCCATCCAAGGGCACTCTGAGTGAAGAAAGGCCACGTTTAATCTGCGATGACACAAAATCCCGCTGCCCATGGCTCGCGGCAGCAAGAGGAACGGTCATCACGGCCCCTCTCCCTGAAACGAGCAGCTCAGAGCAGAGAGAGAGAGAGAGAGAGAGAGAGAGAGAGAGAGAGAAAATACCCCATGAATTTCCCCATAGAACAATCTTTTCCTAAGCCATCTCCTCATAGAATCATAGGACTGGAAGGGACCTCGAGAGGTCATCGAGTCCAGCCCCCCGCCCTCAAGGCAGGACCAAGCTCCATCTACACCATCCCTGACAGATGTCTATCTAACCTGTTCTTAAATATCTCCAGAGAGGGAGATTCCACCACCTCCCTTGGCAATTTATTCCAATATTTGACCACCCTGACAGGCAGGAATTTTTTCCTAATGTCCAATCTAAACCTCCCCTGCTGCACTTTAAGCCCATTACTCCTTGTCCTGTCCTCAGAAACCAAGAGGAACAAATTTTCCCCTTCCTCCTTGTGACACCCTTTTAGATATTTGAAAACCGCTATCATGTCCCCCCTTAATCTTCTTTTTTCCAAACTAAACAAGCCCAGTTCACGAAGCCTGGCTTCATAGCTCATGTTCTCTAGACCTTTAATCATTCTTGTCGCTCTTCTCTGGACCCTTTCCAATTTCTCCACATCTTTCTTGAAATGTGGCGCCCAGAACTGGACACTCGAGTCCTGCAGGAGGGAGTTCCCATGCACGTGTGCAGACAGGTACGGCTTCCTGCAAGCATCTGTGACGGCAGACTTGGCAGTGTTTGGAAGATCAGTTCACGACTGTCACTGAATGGGGAACGCACGGGACACTCTACACCAGATCTTTGTTCATTTCTATGTCTGCTACCTTGGCCCCTTCCTTGGCCCATGCCCTCCCCACCTGATTACATTGGCCAGGGTACCAATAAGGGGTCACGCTAAGACACTGGACGGATACGAACTTCCAGCAGCTCTTACTTGGATTCTGTATAGGAATCACAGATGTAAGTCAGGAGAAGCAAAACCAGCCAATCTTGTCTCAAGAGTTCCTGCCCCTACAGAAACAAGGAGGGAATATTTCCAGGTCATGACAAAAAGGAGAAAAAAGAAGCCACCAACTGCATGGAAAACGATTCCTTGCATCTACCTCCCTCCTCCACGTGCACAGAAATCAGAGCCACGTTTCTGACGAAAGTCTGCATGGATCGGCTACTTCTCCCTACTGTCTGGGGCACTGGTCTGCTCAGGGCATGTGTGTAATCAGGGTAGATCAGGTGAAACACGGACTGAACATGCGGTTCATCACAGCAGACCCTACAGGGGGCTATGTTGTGTGCACCTCCCTCCCCCCAGAAACCACCCCCCCCCCCAGAAACCACCAAAGGGGTGGAGAATTTTAGCTGCTTCCTCACCCAACTTCCTGGGTCGTCCTGGCTTCCCGTGCAACACGATAAAACCCAGGCCTGCATAAACAGGGGAGCAGTCAGAGATGATTTTATCCCTGGGCAAGGCGCTGGTGAATTGGATACCGGACTGTGGTTTCTAGTCAGACTGGAGACAGATGCCTTTCTAGGAGGGATGTTTCAATGCAACACACATTAGCAGGATCCCTGTGTGAAATTCGCTGGCCTGTATTAAACTGGAGCTCAGTCTAGGTAACGTAACGATTCCTTCCGGCTCTCAGTAAGGGGATAGGAGCAGCTTTTAAGGCAGGCATCATCTCTGATTGGGGGCGGGGCCACTCCAAGATTTTAGAAAGTGGTCAACAGCTGCATTTCTCTCCGGAGAGGGTGCAGGGTCTGGAACGGAGGGCGCGTGCAGAAGGGAGCTCGGGATGCAGGGAAAGCGGCTTCCCGGGCAGACCGGCTCCCCCCTGCTCCGTGCTGATCTCTGGCTGCTTCCCAGTCCCCCCACAGAGATCAGAGCAAGCCCCGAGACGCCCTTTCTGCAAGGCCCTCCACAGCTGCAGCCTCTTACCCCTCTGTCCTGGGTGCCCAGGGCCGGGATGTTTCACAGCCGCCCATTTTCAAGATTCAGTCGCTCCACGGATCCACTTCAGCCCCAATCGTTGTGTGGGGGCGGGGAGTCCCTCTCCATCGTCTGAAACAGGCAGAGGAACATTGGTAAGAGCGTGTCCAACCCAGCCTCTTCCTATGCCCTGCTGCTGAGATCACAGCTGGTATCTAAGCCCAGGCCCCCAGCCCAGCTCCCTGGGGATGTACCTAAGCAGAGAGCTCACTCTACCCAAGGCAGCAGGACTAGCCGGAAGTCACTCTGGGGTGCAGAGAGGCAGCCAGAGCAAAGGGCAGGAGGAGAAGGGAGGGGAACATCGTAGCAGACACCCGGACAAGGCCCATGTCTGCAAGAGTTTGCCTGGTCTTCTGGGTTCGCATCACCCTTCCCTGAGCCCGTTACTGCCCTGACTCAGCCGCCGGAGGGTCTCCTTGCAGCTCCAAGCCAGGGCCGGGCAGGGACCCCCTTTGTGGGAGCAGGGCTGCGGGCAGCCCATAACTTGCTTTCCCCCTAGGACCTCTCACCCCAGATTTCAGAGCATTTTGTAGTTAGCCAATCACGCCTTGCACGCGTCCTAGGACCGATCACTCACATGGGGCAGTGGGGAAACTGAGGCAGGAGCGAAGTGCCTTGCTCGAGGTCACTCCGGGGACAGGTCAGAGCTAGTGACGGCCCGTTGCCCTGACTCCTGGGCCACTTGTGAAAAAGGGGGGCTGGACGGCATGTGGGGCAGGGCCTGGGGCACTATGCAGGCAGGCGGGAGGCCAAAAGGGGTTCAGGGCAGCCCCCGAACTCAGCACGTGTGTCAAAGCCGCTGCACTTCCCCTCTGGTCACCGAGCCTCCGCACATCACCACGCGGGGAGAAAACCGGAGCAAAACGCGCCCCAGCCCCAGAGACTGGGTCACTGGACCCTTCACTGCAGCCGCCTCTCTGAACCCCCAGTCCAGCCCCTCCCAGCAGAGCGCCCCTCCCTCCCCTGCCCTGTGGGGCGCACACAGCCCTGCGCACAACACACCCGCTGTTGAACTGGGGTGGGTGCAGCAGGAGGGGGGGTCCCAGGAGTCTGGCCGCCCCTCCCGAGCC